AAACTATTTATCTACATTTGTTGCCTAAATTATTACAATTTCAAAGAGCCAAACATGAACAAAGTGCAAGACTAACTTTAGATGAACATTTGACATTTATGATTCTCAGAACATGGTAGAAGACAACAGTGTATATGTGGCTTTGGCCAATATAAGCCAACTCAACCCCCAATAATCAAGAAAAACGATTATGATATTAAAGGTGCACTCCAAGCACAATAACCACTATAGCATGTTGCCACTAGGATTGCCTGGTTATGTCATTAATCCAAGAAGGAGGTTGGAAGGAAAACAACAGTGTACATGGTTCTGATCACTACTAGCTTACCACATTAAAGGAACACTCCAAACATGCTATGTGATTATAGTTCCAGAAGCACCCTGGCACCCCCACCCACATGAAAATAGTAAAATTGTTAATAATCTTTCTTCTTCCTGGATTCTCCAGTTGGGATCTTCAGTTAGATCTCCTGAGCTAAGGGCACCAGTGTAGGGCCAACTCATTGGCTCAGTGCATCAGATTATCACAGCAGGCTTTCAAACCCATCAGCACCAGTAAATGGCAATCCCATCAGTTTTGGCTTGATCATAGCATGTTTCCACTGATTTCATCATCTGCATGGCCCATAATTTAGGTCCCCAATACATGCATGGCCACTGTACAAAATGTTAGAAGAAAATAACAGATGAAGTGAATACATTAGTGTTACAATGGTACTAGTCAAGGGGTGGGATATGTTAGGCAGCAAGTGTACAGTAATATCTTGAATTTTATGTGTTGGAAGTCTGAAAAATTGTCAAACGAAAAGATCAGAGTGACTTTGACAAGGGCCAAATAGTGATGGCTACATGACTGGGTCAGAGCATCTCCAAAACAGCAAATCTTGTGGGGTGTTTCCAGTATTCCAACAGTGGTGCAAGGAAGGACAACCAGTGAACGAACACTTCAACAAAACACCACCCCTGCCTAGTTGCCCCTTCGTTTGTTTTCATTTAGAAGAAGTGTGCATTCAACCCTTTGAATTTAACCAGTTAACCGGAGTCAAGATGATGGGTGCCCAAGGTTCACAGATGCACATGGGGAGCAAAGTCTAGCCCATCTGGTCCAATCAAACAGAAGAGTGTCACGGTTCTCCAAGTGCCATCCAGACAGCCAGGTGTGGCCCCATAGGTGACAAACAGGGGATTTAAACCTGGGTCCTTCGATGTCCTGGTCCTGCGATCCTGCCTCTGAGCCAAAGCAGGATCCTATTCTCTTAGAGTGGTTTTAGCCCTGTTATTCCTTGCCTTGCCTGCAACACTAGGGGGCTGGACTTTACCTGTGGCTGCTCCTGTCACTCTAAGTTCACCTGAGGAAGATTGCTGATTTAGCTAGGTACATAACACGGTCTCTGCCTGAGGGCATGGTCAGTTCATTGATTTTGGTTGACGTATTTGGTTCCTGTTATTTTGTTTCCTGATCATGTATTCTCCAGACTGACCCCAGCTTATCTCCTTGTTTATTCTGACCTCTGGAATCCTCTGACTTTGGCTACACTTCGACTATCCTGCTTGTACCCTTGCCTGCACTGCATATTGCAGCTTTGTTCCTGTCTTGGACCCCGTGCACAGATTAAAAGCCCAGGTAGCTTCTTACCTGGTTACCGTGGGCTGTGTTTATCTGCAAGGGTGAGCATACATCTCTGCACTTTGGACTCCCACTTCCAGGTAAGATCCTGACAAACAGCTGCTGTAGCTCAAAACTTAATGGTGCCATGACAGAAAAGTGCCAGAATACACAGTGCATCACAGTTTGCTGCATAACCACAGACCAGTCAGACTTCCCATGATAGGGACATGAGCGACAGAACTGGACCATGGCGGAAGATTGCCTGGCCTGATGAATCATATTTTCTTTTAGATCAGGTGGATGGCTGGGTGCATGTGCATTATTTACCTGAGGAAGATATGGTCGCAGGATGCTATGGGAAGAAGGCAGGCCGGCTGAGGCAGTGTTATCCTTTGAGCAATGTTCTGCTGAGAAACCTTGGGTCCTGGTATTCATGTGGATGTAACTTTTACATTTAACACCTACATAGAGATTGTTGCAGACCACAAACACCTCTTCATGGCAGTGGCCACTTTCAGCAGGATAATGCACCCTGCCACACTGCAAACGTTGGTCAGGAATGGTTTGAGGAACAGGACAGAGTTCAAGGTGTTGCCTTGGCCTCCAAATTCCATAGATCTCAATCCGATTGAGTATCTGTGGCATGTGGTGGAAAAACAAATCTGATTTATGGAGGCACCACCTCTCACCTTGCAAGATCTGCTGTTTGGGTGCCAGACAACACAGAACATGTTCAGAGGTCTTGTGGAGTCCTTGACATATCAGAGCGGTTTGGGCAGAACGTGGTAGACTTACACGATATTAGGCATGTGGTTTTTATGTTGTGGCTGATCTGCATATCTACTCCCTTATACATAAGTGGTTTCCTTTTAAGGATCAAAGAAACAATTCATAAATAAAGGATAACAAGTTGCTAATTGATGTGCAACATTCAAAATGATAATAGCCAGAAGCATTAAACTCCCCCTCCCTGCATTGGTCTTTGGTCTTTAACATTAATAAATTGTATATGTTAAGCAATTTGTAGGCCTATGAACTGCCTAAGAATTATGGTGAAACTGTGAAGCTTCCTTTTGCCTCAGATAAGGAACAAAACTATTTAGGTTCAAATTCAGTTAATAATTTAGAGTAGCACTAAAATGTCTAGGAAACAACTTTCGGTTGCTTTATTAATAGAAATAGTATATTTTTAGTACAATGTTTACTGGCATTAAAAGTGTTTTTTTTGTCAATATTTGATAGGAAGCATACAATTTTCTAAAGCGGTCTTGTTGACATGAATGTAACTTTCTTTTATATTTAGAGAATTTGTTAAAGGGTCACTCCAAGCACCATGACTACTTTACACACTCATTGCAATTAAATCTGTACACTTCTAAGTCAGCCCCCTAGAGAGTTCAGAGAGGCAGCTTAAATAATCAGTTTGGGCTGCCTATATTAAAGGACCACTATAGGCACCCAGGCCACTTCATCTTAATGAAGTGGCCTGGGTGCCAGGTCCATCTAGGGTTAACCCTGCAGCTGTAAACATAGCAGTTTCAGAGAAACTGCTATGTTTACATTAGGGTTAATCCAGCCTCTAGTGGCTGTCTCATTGACAGCCGCTAGAGGTGCTTCCACGCTTCTCACTGTGAAAATCACAGTGAGAAGACACTGCCGTCCATAGGAAGGCATTGCGCATTGGTCAGAAGAGGGAGGAGAGTCCCCAGCGCTGAGGGAGCCCGGCGCTGGAGAAACGTAAGCCTTTAACCTCTTCCTCCCCCTAGAGCCCAGCGGGAGGAGGGCCATGAGGGTGGGGGGGGACCTATTAACACTATAGTGCCAGGAAAACAAGTTTGTTTTCCTGGCACTATAGTGGTCCTTTAACTTTGTCCATTCCACATACACAACTCAGACTGAACTTTGTCTCTTTCCTGCATGAGCTACACACTAGCACACAGATACACACACTGACAGATACACACTGACACTGACACATACACATGCTGACACACAGATACACACACCTTGACATACAGTGTGTATCTATGTCTCTTCGTGTATCTGCCAGTGTGTGCATCTGTGTGTGAGCCAGTGTGTATCTGTGCACCAAGTTGTGTATATATGTGTGTATGTGTGTATCATTGTGCCAGTGTGCATATCTGTGTGCCACGGTGTGTGTATCTTTCATTTTTTGTATCTGTGTGTTAGTGTTTTTGTCAGTGTGTGTATCTATGTGCCACTATGTGCCAGTGTGTGTATCTGACAGCTACACTGACATACAGATACACACTAGCATATACACACACAGACAGCTACATTGACACACATATACACACACCTTGACACACAGATACACAAACTGACACATACACACACAGATTCACACACATTGGCAGATACACATACTGACGTAGGTACACACACACACACACACATAGACACATACAAACACACGTGAAAATTTGCTGTTCAATTACGTTTTTTCTGCAGGAGGGTCTTCAGTGCTGCTGGCAGAGCCTGGTGTGCTGCTCAGTCCCCACTGATCCCTCTTTCCCGCCACCAGTCTGGGAGAAAATGCTATCACTTCCTCCCAGCATCCTATACAACTGAGGTCCGATCGCGGTCTTAGACGGCCACAGCGCTTGACCGGACCCCTGTTTAGCGATAGGGCCACTAAATGCTTGGGACACCCGACGGGCAAATCACAGCGGAACACCAATTTGGAACACTAATTGGGAAACGCTGCTTTAGTGAATAACCCTGTGTGTGTTTATTTTACAATATTTTGGTTGTACGTTAAGTAAACCAGACATACTGTGTTTCACCTACTATCTGTGTAAATCATTAACATCCAAAGAACAAAGGGGAATTGGGGGCACACCCAGAACATGCATTTCTGTATTTTGAATCATTAACATTCACAGTTAAAACATAAATAACATATCTTTCAGAATGTGCTTTGCCTGAAGAGGTCAGATTTCCCTATGGAATCTGATAATTGGGAGCACACACGCATAGCACAATCCAACAAACATTACCTCAGGTATTGTCATCATGTCCCTGATTTCTGTCCAATCTACAGCCAAAAGTGCGATAAGAACATGTACACGGGGGCATGTACAAATCTCCTATAACCAGCTTATACTTACCCCCATTTACCTGAAACTACCTCAAGCAGATGTCGGTAGACAAGGGGAACACAAGCAACAGACTACTGAGTCGTTGTCGGCTCCCGTCCGTCCGGGGGCACCGATGGATGGGCTGATGGGTCTGCGCCTGCTGTGAGGCTACGGCGGGAGAAACGGCCAATCTCCCGTGCTTGGTCTGGCGGTACCTCACCCACGCCTATCCAAGGCCCTGTTCTCCCCCCTGTGGGCCGGTGGGGGCTATCTCGGCCTCCACCAGGGACGCAATGCACACTCACGGAAACCAGCCTGGGCCCGCATGGACAAGCCAAGATGGCCGCCACGTCTATCGTAAGATGGAGTGTAGCGGCCGCACACCCTGAGCAGCGGTTGTGTGCACCTCTGAGGGTCGCACAATGGCGATGATGGCAGGCAGCGCAACCTCTCCGTTCCCCCTGACCACCGGCAACAGAGGGTGACAGCTCATCACTCAAGCTGGGAGACATCTCAGCTCATTGACAGGAGCACTGTCCACACCACACAAGGCTTCACCCTCCACAGTTTATGACCGCACTGGTGGATATATGAGGACTTGGCCGGGACACTGACACAGCCCAAACTTGGGGGAATAACGGATATGAAGCACAAGCTCTACTATCTGCCCGGGGTTGACGCCAGCAGACCCATTGTTCAATTGAACTCTGAAATTTCTCACAGGTGCAAGGTACGCATTATAAAACAGCATTGGGTTTCACCATGTGTCAAATATGTGCTCTCCACACGGACCGGAGGAAACTCAAAACGCTGACGCTGAACACCGCCAGACCCGCATAGGTGGACACTATTTCAGAACTATCGCTGTATGACTCCGTCCAGCTCCCGCTGAAGATTCTCGTGGATAACGAAATCCCCAGCATGGCACAATGCTTGTGTCCCATGGTGGTAACTAGCCTGAAACGCAACTACAGTAACTACACAATGCCTGTTCATGGATAGGCCTAGTAACATGACAGCTTGCTTTACCACATTTGAACAGGCATAAATGTATATTACATAAGCCTGTTGCCCCAACGTGCCTTGCCACTTTAGACATGCTAAATCAGCTTATACTACATTTAACTATATATGTTTACTCTCATTCACCCCTCTAGTGAAAACCACAGCTAGCGCACTATTTAAGCATCTCCAAACACCAGCTACACCCTACCTGTATTAAGCTTGATAAATCTACATGTTTTCAAACTAAAGATAAAAGACAAAAATTAAAAATGAGGCATCGATATCCTGGAAATGTAAATTAATCTTGCAGAATGATGTATCAACCCTGTACTGTAAATCGCTCGTACATTTCCCCTGCTTTCTCTTATGTACCCCATCTTATATACCTTTAATAAAAGACAGAATAAAAAAACAAAACAAAAACATGTACACAGAGAGATGATCCAAGCTTATTCTTTCATAATATGATGAGAATACAATATTTACATTATTGCATTTTACACTTTAAAACATAAAAAAATATATATACATATATAGTATAGTAAATATAAATATACACCACTATATATGCGCCTTTCCCAAGCCTTTTTATGAACAGGGAGCTACTGATTGGCTTAGAGCGTCAGTGCCCCTGCCTGTCTGCGACTTTCTTTAGAAGAATTTCTAAAAGGAGATTTAGACAGGGACAAATAGAGCCTGTGCAGCAGAGCAGCAAACGGTTTAGCTCCTGAAGGTAAGGAATCGACAGGAATCTCTGGGTACCATAACAACTTATTTGGTAATGTTGTTATCGTACCATGAAAATCTGCAGATAAAACTGTGGAGCCTTGATTTAAGATGCAATTGTTCTCTGCTGCTTCTCCAGTGATTTCAGACAGTGGTAACAAAGTGCAAATTCTTATGAGGATGCAGCAAAGATGTAGCCTAAAAACAATAATGCCAACATACATAGGGTAATCTTGCAAAAAAACAACAATTTTCTTAAAATTAGTGTACATTGCAAGTAGAGATTCTGGCGTATCTAACCTCTAGGGGTGTTATCCGCTAAGCCGTGCCATTCTTGTGCTTTGTATCCACCCAAAAAAAAATATATATATAAATTTTTTGAGGAAAGAAAGTCCCTTTATGGAGACATGCATCACTTTGAGACAACTGTCTCATTCAAAAGCTTTAGCTGCAGGTGGAAGAAAGGAGGCAAATATGATTTTTTTTTTCTTCAAATTTGCTCGCTGCTTCTTTTTCATGCTTTCCATACCAACTCCAGGTGAGACACAGATCTAATCACTGTCCTATCCCTAGCAATGCTGGAAAAATGCATTGGGCATGCCTGACACATTTACACATGTGAAGCTGGAAGATCTATTCACATTGCAACATCCTGATAGGGGGAGAAGGATGGGAATCTGATCAATGTGATTCATGCAGATCAGGCTCCAGTTTCGGGTTTAATTCTCCTGTTTCTGTCATTAGTGGAATGGTCTGAAACGGCTGGCTAGGTAACTGAAGAAACTATAATGCAATCTTACCAACTTCGTAGTAAGTTTGTAAACAGCGATTACATACTTTTAATGGTTTTTATTGCGTTTTTCTGGTATATATGTATATTTAAAGTGTTTACTTGGTAATTAAATTTTTTTTTTTTTTAAGTGATACATGTTCCTTTAAGCTAGGAGCAGTGGCAATCCCATGGCATTTTGAATTTGCCATTAGCAAACGTGCAGAGGATTTCCAGACAGGAATTTGAATTTTTCATACAAAAACTACATGTCAGTTATGCATACACTATCAATTTCAACTACTAATAAACTCATGGTAGCAGAATATAAATCAGCTCCTATTTATATCAGGAGAAAAATATAACATAATTGAAGCAATAAAATGTTCAGAAATGGGCAAAAATATAAAACTAACTTAGAGATGCTTATAGTCAGATTGAAAATGCTCATATTAAATATAACATGGACAGAGAGGGTCTCGGGTAATAAATGTAGCTCCAAATATTTTCCAATACCAAATTGGTTTGAATCCCAGTATTTAAAAAAAAAAAAAAAATCTATAACAATTGCTTTATATGTAACAACTATCCCTCGTGTCTATATTTATGGCCAGACACCTCCTAACAATATGAATATAACTCTATTAGACACCGGACACACATTGTATTGAATTGTAGTAAACTGAAAATTGAATAGAATAGAAAAGAGGTGACTATCTATACTGTAAAGATATGGTGTCCCTTGCCATTTAATAATTTAAAACTATTATATGGAGAAATTAGTAAAATAAACTGTCTCTGTTACCATTAAATTAAATGTCTATTTCCTGTGGTGTACAAATGATCAGGAAATAACTAGTTGAAAAGAGACATAACATTCTGTTGGTTTCCTTTTGACTTCAAAAACCCATAAAATTCCATAACTAACTGTTCCAATATGTACACTTTATTTTTGTCTTCCAGATAACGCCCTTTCGCAAGTTAATTGCAGGGCCCTTGTTTACACGGAATATGTTTAGTAGGATTATTCTGAAGACGCTTCCTGATAAATTAAAAATATGCAGCTATTGTACGGAAAATGCGGTCACATAACTCAAATAAATGGAAAGATCAAAATAAAGGAAATTGTATTTATAACTCTGATGAAAAGTAATGCTACGACCGTGGCCAGAAATATGAAGACATACATAAATAAATTAGCAAGATTGAATGGTTGTTATTACAATACAAATGGTTTATCCCAACTCCTGTATATCCTGCAGATATGGATGTTGCACCCCTCATGGGAAGACCAAGAGTTTATTCTGACATGTTCACGTCAAACTGCTGATTCTCATTACATCTAAATACAACTGTTGCTCCATATAATTCGTGCTTGGTCATTTTTTAATTTTTTTATTGAGGGTGCGTAAATTAATAGGACTCTGCATGTAAGCACAGAATACACCTGGGAGTGCATATTAGAAAAAAAGGAGTAAGACATCATGGAATTTGTTATGTGAAAAGGGACACATATGGCAAATTAAGGTATGTTATAAACGTTTGTCAGACGCCCTTAGCATTCTAATCCATTGACTAAATCTGGATCTGAAGGCCTGAGCTCTGCACATACAATTATGAAGAGGAGTCTCCTGCCTAGTGACTATGCTGAAATATCAGAGATGACTACCAACTGATCCCCAGGCTTGGGCATGAACAAGTACACAATTTAAAGCAGTGTGGAACAAGCCAAATGCTTGGGTCTGTCCCGTTTATAACCAAGGTTATAGGAAGAAAGCAGCTCCATTCTCTGACGAGGTCTTCTCCAGCAGTTGTGTCAATTTTCTGGTGTCACAGTAATGTACATGATACAGTCCATAATAGCTTGTTGCCTGGGGAATAATAGAAGCTTCTTCCGGGTCAAGCAACGTGAGGGCCCTAAGGTGCCTTTGGCCCAAGTCAGGTATTACCTTCCTTGCATCTCCATGTCTTTGCCCCTTGCCTGCTCTGGTCAGCTGGATGTACCAATACTAGTGTCACATTTTTAAATAAAGTCTCCTCCTTTTCTGTGTTGATTCACTTTATGTATTTAAATGTTTCTATCATATCCCCCCGTCTCGTCTTTCCTCCAAGCTATACGTGTTAAGATCCTTTAACCTTTCCTCTTTCTACTGCTAATATCTCTCCCTATACGACCAAGTATTCTTCTAGCATTTCCTGCTCATTTCCTGTTTAATAATAAATCTGCTGCAAACGTGGTCTGGAAGCTAAATCTAAGCATTTTGTTTCACTTGGAAACTTTGTCAAGAGAGGCATATCTTGAACAACATGCTTAGGTGATGCATAGGTCCACTGATACAGCACAGTTCAGATATGCAGCGATTGGTAAAACACCTAGTTTTCTCTGCCAATGTCTATTTTTTTACTTTGAAGCAAGTGGTATCTGCACACTCCATGCACAACTTGGGCTGAGCTCTCTCTCCTCTCTACATACCATGCACCACCTTGGCTCTAGAAGAAAATCACAGATTCAAATGGTTCAAGATGTGAATTTGTTACCTACTTTCAGGACATTCTGTAGTACAATGGCCTCTACTTAAAAATGGGATTTGAGCAGGTCCCACTAGACAGTTGGAACAGACAAATCATATTTATCGACACAACAAAAAGTAAAAGCTGCTTTTATACTGGAAATTAAGGCTATATCTATATATATACTTATACATGTTAAGGCTTGGCCTGCAGTTGTGGGAGGGGCATGGTACCTATTTAAACCCCCTTACTCACCTTCCTCTGTCCCGTACGTTTTTTAGCGACTCACATGTTGCTATTTCCGGTCGCTATTTGCTTCCCTTGCGGTTCTCCTTGCCTGGCCTGCCGTTTCCCCCCGCCGTTTTCATCTCGTCCACGGTCGTTGCTGGGCCTCTGCTCCGGTCGGCTGTCCGTCCTTTCATCTCTTCTGTTGCCGTGAGTTTACTTACCTCCGTTTGGGAGTTTTCCTTTCCCCTTGTTCCTATTGATCGCTCGGTTCGCATGGTTCTGGGGGGTTCGTGGCTCTCTGGGTTTTCACGATTTTTACCAGCCTGCTCCCGCCATTTCGCCTGTTTTTGCTGCACGAATGCCTCACACGATCAGAGAGCCCATTTCTTTTGCTGGGATTTGTTTACGGCGTGCACACGCCCACGCGTCTGTTATAGGACTTTCACTCACAGTGCGCTCAGCTGCTTTACAACGGAGCTACATATGGCGGAGCGGGTAGGAGCAGGGTTTTGGTTACGAGGCACCCACGCTTGGATACAATGTTGCAAGGGCCCCCTTGGGCACTGGGGAGACCAGGCTATTTGAGGTTGCGTTAGTACATAGAATTTCTTTAGCTTGCTCATCTGCTTTATCATGCTGTAAGTAATATCTGAATACACTAAACTCTTATGATTTCATGATCCATAGTTTCTTCCCTCGTGTGGAGGGTTTTATATGGGGTGTTAGCTCCAATACTTTGTAGAATACTCTACCCCCTTTTTTCCTCATTGTTGTTTTGTACACTTTTCTAATCTATTAGTAGTAGCAGAGCTGGATGTATTTATATGTGTAAATCCCCTTTCTCATTGTACTCACTGCTCTGGTTGTACTACATGGAGGTAGTACCCACTGAGCAGTTTAGACCTCCTGCAGTCACCTGACCAATAAACATTGTTAGTAGTCGATTTTGGGCAGGCAACTCTTACATTTCTACCTTTTTCCACCCCATTGTTAGGTTCTCTCTTCCTATTTGGGGTCTTTCGCTATTTATTTTGTTATGAGGCGGTTTTTCTTGTTTATGGACCTTTTATAGAATATGTTGGTTTTTGTGCATACTCAAATTAATCTCATGATTTTTTTTTTTCTCTATCCTAGGTTTTTCTGCCCAGTCGCATGGTCCGACCCACGTTTCTTCATTCAAGTTTTTTCCCGTTTCCCTGCTTGGCCAGGTCCGCTTTTGCACGCCTTTAGTCATCGTGCTACATTATTTTCCTGAACCCCCTCCCATTTTCGTTCCACGTTTCCTCGGGTACATCCTCTCTCTCACTCCCTTCCCTCCCCTCTTAGTTAGCTGTTGCTGGCTGTCAGGGCCCTTGGTGTCCACTAGCTGTAATTCCCCTGGCTTCTTTGCTTAGGTTAGTGGTCCTGCGAGGCCAACACCCATCCTCGCACTCGGAGGTACTACGCCCCTCGGGCCAACTCATAGTTAGTCGCCTCGCACTGTGGCATAGAGAGGGCCTCACCTGTCACTCCCATCCTATCTTATGTTTAGCTGTCACCGAGAGGCCAACACCCCGCCACAACATTCGGTGGCCACGTTATCCCCTCGTGCCAACTCATAGATAGAGCCTCTCACACCGCTTGGCATCTAGCAGGGCCTCACCTATCACCAAACCTAGTTTTTAATTGCTTCGCCTTTTGGTATTAGCTAGTATGCCAGCACTCCCACGTACGCTCACGCACACACACACACTCACACTCGCACTGGGTCTCGTGACCCCCGTGGGGTTTACACCAACTCTGTTTTGTTACCTACTGCCGGGCTCGCTCCTTTCAGCCGTCCGCCTGGACACTGACGTGCTTGCTCTGCTTTCGGTTACGGTCGGCTGTGCGGTGTTTCCTCATTCACACTCACGTCTTCGATACACATTCAGCAAATCTAACCTCTCACACTACCTTCCCTCCCCTCTTAGTTAGCTGTGGCTGTCTGTCAGGGTCCTAGGTGTCCACTAGTTGGTAATTCCCCCCCCTGGCTTCTTCGCCTTAGGTTAGTGGTCCAGCGAGACCAACACCCATCCTCATACTCGGAGGTACTACGCCCCTTGGGCCAAATCATAGTTAGTCGCCTCGCATTGTGGCATAGGGAGGGCCTCACCTGTCACTCCCATCCTATCTTATGTTTAGCTGTCACCGAGAGGCCAACACCCCGCCACAACGTTTGGTGGCCACGTTATCCCCTTGCGCCAACTCATAGATAGAGCCTCTCATGCTGCTTGGCATCTAGCAGGGCCTCACCTGTCACCAAACCTAGTTTTTTAATTGCTTCACCTTTTGGTATTAGCTAGTATGCCAGCACACATACACGTACCCACACACACACGCATTGGGTCGCTTATGCGCTGCCTATTCGTCTCTTTTCTAGCAGGTCTCCGCAGCTAGGCGTTGGCGTGATATTGTCCGCCTGGGCTCTCTGGCTTGGTCTGGTACCCTTCACGCTGTGGTGCTTCAGCTACTCCTACCTTTTTTTTGGGTCCTTCTTTGCTTCACTGAGGTTCTCACAAGTCCCTTTTTTTTTTTTTTCACCCGTCAGCCTTTCGGTCAGCTGAACTCTCAGTCCGCACTCCATGGGTAACGCTGTTGCTGGTGGGGGCCCCCGAGTTCGCTCTCACTTCTCAGTTTCGCCTCCTGGTTGTCTTCGCTGCCGTCGTCTATGGGGCGGTGTCGGATGGCAGTTTGGGGTAACTGGCATCTGCCACTTTGGCTGGTTTCGATCCAGGCTTCCAGCACCTTTCGGGGGGCCCAACCATAGGCTGCCGGCCTGGTTAGCTCGTGGTCCTCTTTTTTCGCGTCTGGCTCTTTTTTTCCAATGCTCGCGGTTTTTGTCTGTTCGGGACTTCTTCCCCTTTGAGGCTCCTTCTTCGTGTATACCAATACTGTTCCTGTAGCTATGTTGTCTGCATTTTGGTTTTGCTTTTTTTGCCACCTCTAACTTGCATCAACTCTACCTATCCGGTTCACAACTCCACATGTTGTACAGGTTTACCATTCATACGCAGTTCCATGCCCTCATTCCATACTATTAGCATGCTCAAGGCGTTTTAGGTTCCAGGGAATTTCAAATTTACTGATTTCACATCAACATCCAAGTATCTCATTCACTATCAGACTTATTAAATGCCTGTCACTACGAACCGGGCATCAACCTTCAATTGTAGGGCAATAACTGCTTGATCCAAGGAAAATCTGACTGCCATTATGTGGTCAAGAAGGAATTTTTTTCCCAGCTTGTTGCAAATTGGCAGCGCTTCAAACTGGGTTTTTTCGCCTTCTTTTGGATCAACCGTTTAAACACAAATGTTAACTTTGTAATCTAGTTGTTGAGCCACTATTTTTGCTTCCACAGTTTCTTGGGTCTCACATACTTTCCCACAGCCACCACGTCCTTCTTGCAGCATTATCTTAGGAAGTCTCACCTATTCATGCAGCCTACTGATTACCCTCTCTACCCCACATTTAGTCTACCCTAGGGGGCCAACATGTTTAATATACCTTACTTCCCCTTGCACAATTAAGAGTGCCGGTTAAAGTGCTGGGCAACGGAACGGACGCCATCTCCATCAGCTCCCGACCTCGCAACGATAAACTTGAGAATATCACGGGCATCTTAACCCATCCGCAGACATCAACCCCACCCCGAACACGGGGTAACTGAGAGGAGCCGACTAATGCCCTTCTTTCACCAAACGAAGCCCAGAAAGGTGAAACAAAAACACCGGGCCTACCTCACTCCCACGAGCTACGGCCTGGAGACTCTCCTAGACAACATCGGGACGGAATACCGCCCAGTCTTGGAGGGGACGGCTACCGCAACACACAGCAGCCCCACTGCAACCATGGGGCGTCGCACGCAAAAACAGTACCCGGCATCGGCAGCAGACCAGCCGAACATCGGGGAAATGCTGCAACGACAAGCACCTTCCAAAATGGCCGCCACGAGATCCTCCACAGTAGGCCCCCCGCCACCACTATTGGAGCGGGCACACGCACTGGAGCTAGGGCCTGAGGACAAGCGACCCAACTCACCCCTGGCTGGCACAGAGCTGAGTGAGAATACCTTTGCTACAAAACAAGACCTGCAAACATGGATGCAGGAAATTCAAACCCTGCTAGCCGCGGATATTGGCACTCTCAAGACGGACGTACGTAAAACTGCGGAGAGGGTGAGTGCCATAGAAGGGGACATACAATCACTAACCAGTGGGACAACAAATCTCACCGCAGCCCTGCAGTCCCTGCAGACAGCCCACCAGGCACTGGCGGCGCAGGTGGCCACCCAGGAGGACCGCCTGCGTCGCAACCACATTAAGCTCAGAGGAGTCCCAAAAGAAATCACCACAGAGGAGTTGCCCCACTTTGTGAGGAGGCTTCTTGCCTCCATACTACCGCCAACTACTGCCAGAAAACTCGCCCTAGAAGGCATATTTCGGCTGCAAACTGGGAACACCACACCAGCCGCGGAGGCTAAGGACGTTATATTAAAGTGTGCCACAACACAAGATAAAGCAGCAATACTGGCGGCAATCAGAGGCAAGACTCCCCTGCCATTTGAAAACGCCAACCTACTTTTTTTCAAGACCTCACTCGAGCGACACTACTCTGGCGGAGATCAATAAAACACTTAACTAGCCGCCTGAGAACCGCAGGCATACAGTACAGATGGGGCACGCCGCGGACCCTGCTGATTCCGCACAAGGGGACTATCCACAGAGCCACATCGGAGGCAGATATACTCGCAGTCCTCACACTTTTGGGACCATCGGACGCTCTCCAGATAACAGCCCAAACAGGACCAGCCCGGATGGGAGATCCAGCCACCACGAGACCATTCATCCTCCGATCCCCAAGCACAGACTCGGAAACCTGACACGGTCTGCAAGCAAGCCTGGCCATTCTGGCTAAAGTAGACTTTCTTAAACTCGCATACTGACTGTTGCTCGTTTCATATAATTGTTTAGTTATACTAGTTATTACCTCTGTTATTGACCCACACATTCCGTGCCAATCAATCATTCACCCACATACACTAAGAGATACCCACATGCTTGGTGACTATCACATGACACCACACAAATGCAGGGAGGCTCCGGACAAGCTCTCTGCTCCCTCTCCCCCCACCCCCCGCAGCCCCCCTAGGTTAGGGGCCCCCCACTACCGTGGTAAAAGCCGTGACCCCACAACGACGCTATATCACAGACGACCGGCCCACAAAGAGTGACCACAGCTAAAATAGCACCACGGGTAGACCACCCTTGACTCCTCATGAACGCCACAAACTAGTGCACTTACACATAGTGATCCAAAACCTCATCAAGAGTACAAACATGTGACCCAAACCATACAGAGCAGAAAGAGGGGCTAACACTACTACAGGACGGGTTATATACCCAGTTACATATGTAAGCACTAATGCAAGCAACCGTTATGCAACCTGTTGTAAAAAAGAAAAATGTGTGCTGTACAAATTGACTAATCTACCGTGTAATGCATATTCTAAACTCATGTATCTGTCAATATAATACATGAAACCAAATAACGCACAAACAAAATAAAGAATTATAAAAAAAAAAAAAAAAAGTGCTGGGCAACTATTTCTTCGCTCGGCATTTACCATACAGCTAGGCAATTAGGTTTTGTTGATTGTTTTTAGTTTCTCACAGGTACCCAATTTTTGCCCTCTTTTATTACAGGCCTATCACAACGTCGGTTCCGGCACATCTCAACCAACTTATTTCCCTTACGGCCTTATTTGCCACTCACACAAATTAATGGTAATTATTTTACATTTGAAGACACTTGGAGAAAAGATCCAAGAGTCCAAGTGATTTTACACGTGGAGAAAAAATAATTTTCCAGTTAAAGAATAGATAACCAAGTTAAAGGAACACTATAGTCACCTAAATTACTTTAGCTAAATAAAGCAGTTTTAGTGTATAGATCATTCCCCTGCAATTTTACTGCTCAATTCACTGTCATTTAAATCACTTTGTTTCTGTTTATGCAGCCCTAGCCACACCTCCCCTGGCTATGATTGACAGAGCCTGCATGAAAAAAACTGGTTTCACTTTCAAACAGATGTAATTTACCTTAAATAATTGTATCTCAATCTCTAAATTGAACTTTAATCACATACAGGAGGCTCTTGCAGGGTCTAGCAAGCTATGAACATAGCAGGGGATAAGACAATCTTAATTACACAGAACTTGGAATAAAAAAAGCCTAAATAGGGCTCTGTTTACAGGAAGTGTTTATGGAAGGCTGTGCAAGTCACATGCAAGGAGGTGTGACTAGGGTTCATAAACAAAGGGATTTAACTCCTAAATGGCAGAGGATTGAGCAGTGAGGCTGCAGGGGCATGTTCTATACACCAAAACTGCTTCATTAAGCTAAAGTTGTTCGAGTGACTATAGTGTCCCTTTAATACTATGAATATAATTAGGATTATTGATAAAACAAGAACGGTTAAGATTCACTGCTAGTAAGTAGTGATGGTAGTGAACAGGACTGTAGAAGAATGAAAGAAGAACAGGAGCTGTAGAAGAATGAAGGAAGAAATGTGAGAATTTGATATTTAAAACACAAGACAGAATGCATAAAATTTTACTTCTTTTTAAACGATTGATGTAGGATTACAAAGCCATTTTGCATTGAAAAAAATATATAAAATATTTACTAACTTTCTGAAAATTCTGTAATGTTATATACCTTAGTGCTAAATCACCCCTTCCATTATATCCCACATTTAAAGTAAGACTTTCCGATATTTTTGTACCAGTTTTTTTTCAGGAAGGAAATGACCAAAGTGGGAAAACTGTATTTGAATTATTTAAAACTGGTTATTATGCAAGTGGGAAAAGAACACTTGTGAAATTGAGATTTCTTCCCTGAAATGGCCTTAGCAATCAATGAGGAATGAGCAAACAATAAATGTGTTTTTTTTCTTAACAAGATAGTGATCTTGTTAACACATCGCTAGCAGATCACAGGTTAAAATGGGAAATTAATCCAGCCAGTTTGCTTACTCTTAAAATAGTATATAGTCAGGAAAGGGTGGAGGAAACTCCTCTTGATAAGTCTTCCTGAGCTGTACAGAACCAACAAAGTACTTTAGCTGATGGGGCAATGACCTTGAGAGAAAAAACAGAACTGATAAAGATTCAGAGTCTTACTAAACAACTTTCTGAGTGGCATTGCGTGACTGCTTTCTCAAGATTCCATTGTGCAGAGTGCCTGCCATCAGATTACAGTTATAGCCCTAAGAGCCAACAGCCTGCTCATCAATACTTCTATCAAATGGTGTAATTGGTGATGCCCACTTAGAAGGCCCCCCTCCCATCCCAATTCCAGCCAGGCCAAACTTGATGATTGCATACGAAATGTTCCACTGAAGTACGACCTGGATTCCTGGACAAATTCACATGTGCTAGTGAGGACAAAAAGTCTTTCCCTTAGATCAGGTGGCTGTTCCATTTCGGATATTCCTGTTTTTTAAATGAAATTTGTTTATTTTTTATTTTAAATTGTTTCAGCATGCACTGGTCATTGACCTGGAAAATAATGCTGATCTGCTAATAATAATAATAATATTTAAACATTGCTTTTTAAACCTTATTTGTTGCAACCTTGTGAAAATATATGCCGCATGTAAAATCTGTAATAGAAACATAGACTGTGACGGCAGATGAGAACCATTCTGCCCATCTAGTCTGCCCAATTTTCTAAATACTTTCATTAGTCCCTGGTCTTATCTTATATCTATGCCTATCCCACACATGCTTAAACTCCTTCACTGTGTAAACCTCTACTACTTAAGCTGGCAGGCTATTCCATGCATCCACTACCCTCTCAGTAAAGTAATACTTCCTGATATTATTTTTAAACCTTTGCCCCTCTAATTTAAGACTATGTCCTCTTGTTGTGGTAGTTTTTCTTCTTTTAAATATAGTCTCCTCCTTTTCTGTGTTGATTCCCTTTATGTATTTAAATATTTCTATCATTTCCCCCCGTCTCGTCTTTCCTCCAAACTATACATGTTGATATCCTTTAACCTTTCCTGGTAAGTTTTATCCTGCAATCCATGAACCAGTTTAGTAGCCCTTCTCTGAATTCTCTCTAAAGTATCAGTATCCTTCTGGAGATACGGTCTCCAGTACTGCGCACAATACTCCAAGTTAGGTCTCACAAGTGTTCTGTACAATGGCATGAGCACTTCCATCTCTCTACTGCTAATACCTCTCCCTATACAACCAAGAATTCCTGCTGCTCTATTACATTGTCTGTCTGTCAAATATTCTATACTCTGCCCTTTGGTTTTTACGTCCAAGATGCATTATCTTACACTTATCCACATTAAATGTCTGACCTTTTTTCTAGTTTACCTATGTAATTCTGTACATACTCACTATGGTTTTTGCAATAAATAAAAGGCAACTGAGAAATAGCCTAATTTGTCAATGCTCACAGTGTATACATTATATTCATACTTAAAATAATATGGAAATAATTCCGTGGGTACTTTTATTCCACCATTTTATTGCAAATTTATGGGGTCTGTGCTTTTTTTTTTTTTTTTTTAAACCCATACTTTAGCTGAAGATTTTGAAACTGCCAAACTAGTGCTTGCAATATATTTAAATAAATACTTTTTTTTTTTTTTTTTGGCATGACAGTGCGGTACAATGATGAAGAACCACATGCATTACACAGTGTAGGTACTGATCAGCTTTGGTTGGTAACCGATCCTTAATCCAGTTTAGATCTGATTATACCATCGTTACAGTTCGCGTGATTGTGTTCATTTTGTAAGAATGTGCTAGTTGGTGTCATTTTTCATACATTTTCATACATACATTTTGTGAGAAATTGTAAGAGTTATACAATAAAAAGGAAAAAGAAAGGAAAACATGCAATAACTGTGTATTATAATTACCGCAAATGTCAAGCTTTGGTTTCAGCCCATAGTAAGCTATGTTATTAGGTGTAAGACCATTCTCGAATTTAAATAAATACTTATTTAAAGGAGCACTATAGGGTCAGGAACACAAATATGTATTCCTGACCCTATAGTGTTTAAACCACTATCTAGCCCCTTTGCCTCCCTAAAGATAGTAAAATCTTACTTGAATTAACGTCTGAAGCTGCTGCCTCTGCCTGTGAACTCCATCTGACCTCTGACATCATCAGAAGTGGTGGCCCGATCCAATCACAATACTTCCCCATAGGATTGGCTGAGATTGACAAAGAGGCAGACCAGGGGCAGAGCCAGCATGATTCAAACATAGCTCTGGCCAATCAGCATCTCCTCATAGAGATGAACTGAATCAATAAATCTCTATGAGGAAAGTTCTGTAGCCCATGGATCAGCGCAGCTAAGAGGAATAGGCCTTGACAGAGCCAGGAGGTAGGCATAGCAGCCACAGGAATTTAGTGACAGCTAGCATGCTGGGTAGGGCGGAGCCATAAGGGGAGTATTTATACCGGCCATTATATGAAGTGGCCATTTTAACTGAACCTAAGCTTACCTGTCAGTTGTCCCTCCCACCCTCCCTGTATTTGGTTAGGTTAGTTGATTTCCCGTTTTTTCACAGCGGCGGGGAATGGCCTGGTTAAATCGGAGGGTAGATGGAAGAGAAAGTGGGCATCCTGAGGTTTAGTGTGGATTGGGCAGTGTTGCACGTGGTTGGTAGGTTCGAGCCCGTCGGTGGCTCCGAACCTGGGGGTGTGGTGGTGTCTTGGTACACCCTACACTGGAACTGGTGGGTAGCGGTGTCTTGGTACACCCTACACTGGAACTGGTGGGTAGCGGTGTCTTGGTACACCCCTACAATGGATATGGTGGGTAGCGGTGTCTTGGTACACCCCTACAATCGATATGGTGGGTAGCGGTGTCTCGGTACACCCCTACAATTTAACCTGGTGGAAATGTGGTCAAATTGGACGGCCAGTTTCTGTGTTAACATGTTATTTATATTGTTATCTATTGTTATTATTGTGGGGTCATTGCTAGGGGTATGTTATGTATATGGGGGAGGTTAACATTATTAAGATTTGTTGGCAATGACCCCATTTGTTATTCCTTAATTATTTATTAATAATTTAATAAAGCTGTGGAGAAATTATTTCCAACAGTATAACCTGTGTCCATGTTTTAATGGGGGTTGGGGTAAGGTTAGCGTATATGCCGGCAAATCCGACTGTGCGCCTGTCAAGTGTCTGCATGCAGAGGGAGGAGATACTGAATGTGTGGATGCATTGTAGGCAGCCATGACCCAGGAAGGATCTCTAACAGCTATCTAAGGAGTGGCCAGTGAAGTTATCACTAGGCTGTAATGTAAACACTGCATTTTCTCTGAAAAGACAGTGTTTACAGCAAAAAGCCTGGAGGTAATGATTCTACTTACCAGAACAAATTCAATAAGCTGTAGTTGTTCTGGTGACTATAGTGTCCCTTTAAGACTTGTAGCTTTCAGTTGGCAACATGCAGGAACCATGACCACATATCATCATTAAAACTTTAGGCACATATAGTGTCATAATTCATAAAATTTTCCCCACGTTACATCAATTCCTATGCATGGGAAGATCCACTGAACGCTGGATTTTGTTGTACTTCAACAGCTGGACAGGTACTATTGGTCTTAAAATAAATTTCAAAATCTATCACTATATCACAGACAATGAATTATTCAATACAATGCAATATTTGCTATAAGTTCACACCAATTAAACAATATACTGTTCAAGTGAGTTATAGGTGCTTATAGAAAATGTATATATATATATTTATATATATATATATATATATATATATATATATATATATATATAACTTCCCTTCTAGTAATGGATATAACCCGAAGATCTCAAATCTTCAACAAATATGCAAACAAAAAAGGGTAGATCCAACTAGGGGAAATAAAGATAAAACATTGTGCAACTCTGTAAAACCCAGATAAGGTAATTATTAGTGCTAATGGGTCACTCACACTTTGATTGAATAAAAAGGGCATTCAGAAATCATTGGAGATCTCAAGTTGTATCTCTCTCTTAGTAAATATTGCAGGTCTTAGAAGCATGTAAAACAAAGTGCATCCAGAATAAGGTAAAAGTAGATTGAAGTATAACAATATATTTATTACTTACACAGAAGTAAAAATCAGTCAGCATCAAATACAAATAAAATCTATCCAACGCGTTTCATCCCACTCAGGGACTTCCTCAGGGACTGCTTCTTGTTCAAAAGACAAGTACAAAAATGCATAAAAGTATCCCCCCCTCTCCCTCTTAAATACACCCCACAATCAGTCCATTATTGCTATCCGTATGGCGTTGCTGTGTTGTTTCGGCTGTCGATCAAATCTTGATTACTTAAGAAACTGCAATAATTAGCTTGGTGGGTTTTCTCCACTTCTAGTGGCTGTCTACCAGGTGATGCCTGATACTGGACGTCCTCACGCTATGCATGGGGATGTGCAGCGTCACCTAAAATCCCATAGGAAAGCATAATGCATAATTTCCTATG